AATGAGGACCCAGACTGTGGAGGCGATATGCTGACCCTGTAAACCGCTTAGAGAGGACTGAAAGCCCTATGAAGAGGTATATAAGTCGAACTGCTATTGCTATTGCTAATTTAGCTATTCATTCAATTCTGCATTCACCCCTCCCCCTCTTTCATTTTAAGATAAAATGCTATCTTAGATCCTAGCATTTTCCCATCAATGGGCATCATGAAAGATGCAAAACCATCAGATTTTCTTTATACTGTACAGGCATATGAATTATTTTATAAACTCCAGTTTTACTTCTCCCTCAGTAAGAAATTCAAGATTATAAATCTGTTTTTTTCTTGTTTTTTTACATATAGCTGTCACTGAATAATTCTATAAAAATAGTAACTATTATAAAATGGGTCTTGCTACTGTGAATGATACTTGTGATACATGACAGAACAATGGAGAATAATAGAATCAGTCCTCATAAGAATAAATTAACCAGAGATACACATAGTTTCTATTTCTTAGGATTCTGACATAGATTGAATATAATAAATTGAGGTGGGGGAAGAAAGAAAGCTTCATGCTAGAATATTGCAATTTTACTCAGATATCAGTGGCAGCTTGCCTACCCTGCTCCACAGTGTAATTATTTCTAGATCGATTTTGAACATTTTAGATTAGGCAACAGTTGGCTATTTAAGTTTATTTCTGGGGTCGAAGATTTCAAATGTTTAAATTGTTTGTTCGGTTACTACTCACTTTTCACTCTCTCCCAGCCATTTTGAGACAAGATCTGAAGATGACACAGAGAAGAATGTAGAATTGTTAGCTTCTGTTGCAACAGCTTTTGCCAAGTAGGATTTCCCGGTTCCTGGAGGTCCAAACAGGAGGATTCCTCTCCAGGGAGTTCGTTTCCCTAAAAATAAATGAGTGACATGATACATTATGTTTTTGAAAAATCTAGTAAGTTGCATGTAAATTTAGCACACACAAAGCAATAGCAATAGCAGTTAGACTTATATACCGCTTCA